GTCCTGTTATGGCCCCCACTGCACCAAACACCTGCACAGACCCTGATAAGAATCCTTATCTGCTGCCCCTATGTCTGTCTGTCTGTCTGTCTGTCTGTCTGTCTGTCTGTCTGTCTGTCTGTCTGTCTCCCACTCTGAGACCAGGCAGGGGAAAGAAAGGTCCTAAACTGGAGTGGAAGAGCTGAGAAGGACTACAGGCGATTTCATTGATTGCTTTTCAAATGTAATGGTTTATGTGTATTCTTTATAGTGCGGATCAAAACCATATGGGCATTTGAAGGCAGCCGTGAAGGCTTTGGGAGGTGATTCTTCTGCCGTGTGTGTGTGTTTTGTATAAATCCAAAAAGCAAGATGGCGGTCCAGCCTAGCCTGGGTGTGTGTACTCTGTTGGAATGTCTCATGTACAATCCTCCCTTTGTGTCATCGCCTGTCTTTGTATTTACACACAAGGAATGAGAGGAGAGGTAGCCAAGCCAGCGCTTTGAGGAAGGGGAGAAAAGACAACAAAGATCAGAAAGCCTCCTCACAAAGGCATGCCAATTTGCAGCTTGCAGCTGTTTCTCTTCTGAGAGCGAGCATGTGGATGGCCTGTCTTCTCTCCCCTCTCAGCCTGAAGAGCGCTTTACCATCCAGACAGCTAGGGATTGTTTCTAGGACATCTCTCGCTGGCTGGCGCTGGCTGCTGATTGGTGGGCTGGTGTTTTGGCAGGGGATGAGGATGACACTTCTGTTGTATTCACTTCTACAGCTTTGTCTGTCTGTCAGCTGGGCTGACCACTGTTGTTGTGAGCCATTAACAGGTGTTCAGACACCGGCGTGATAAGGGAGAAGCGTAGAAATAGAGAGAGACAGAAGATGTCTACCCAGCCGCCTCCACTGCTGGGCTGTCAGCTGTCCTGTACTGTGTCAAGACAGGCTTTACTGTAGTGAGGAAGAAACAGGAACTGATATATGAAAGAATATGTGTAATTATGTGTTTGACATTAAATTGTGTACACTGTGTGTTTACGTGTGCATGTGTGTGTCTGTGCATGTGTGCCTGTGCTGTTGTTTGTTTCCTGGTTTGGGCCCTCCATCTGTCCAAGCCATACTCTCACCTTTGTTTAGCTGCATATGCTGTTGGAGGTAAAACCAAAATGAGCCTAATCAATCTATCTGGCGTCCATGAGGCACAGCACTGCTCGTTCCAAATTAAGTCCTCCAGATGTGCTTCTGTAGATTAATCTCAGCGCTCACAAGCAATTATTCTGCCAGCGACGCTGAGGCATGAGGCTTATTTGAAACAATTAGAGCCCAGTTCGGTCAAAATTAGCTCGTTTATTTTCCAACCTCCGTCGGTGATTGCGAGCGAAGGCATTTTAAAGAGCTACAGTCACGTAATTGGTTTCCTACCACCACAGCATGTCCTTCAAGCGACCTATCAGGTAAATACATGAGGTGTGACCAGACAAGACACTTGACACGGTTTACAGTTGATGAGGCTGGTATTTATTTACATGGAGTAAATAGTTTGGACACTGATGGCTGAGGTTTAGCTGTGGACAGTTTGATGTTTTTTAATTGAACTGTCAACTAACCATCCAACTGCTGCAATGAATTGCTTGGCATACAAACTGGAATTTGAACTGACAAAATGTCTAGATTTTGGAACATTTTAGAAATCAGTGGGTTATCATCAACTCTCCTCCCAAATATGTAGGACATCTAACACACATTTACATTTTAGTCATTTAGCAGACACTCTTATCCAGAGCGACTTACATGAGCAATTAGGGTTAAGTGCCTTGCTTAAGGGCACATCGACAAATTTTTCACCTAGTCGGCTCGGGGATTAGAACCAGCGACCTTTCGGTTACTGGCACAACGCTCTTACCCACTAAGCTACCTGCCGCCCTATGACAGTACTGTGTTGGCAGAATTTTGAGTTTTCCACAACAGTACTGTGCTGGTTGATTGTTCCCAGGCTTATACTGTAGTAAGTCTGTAGGAATACAGTAAGGCTCCTTCCATCTTCTAGAACCACATTAGGCCCAGGTAAAGGAACCTTCAGAGCTGCACTAAGGCTAGAGTAGACTACGTGAAGAGAACAAGGCCTGGTGTCTCTGGCTTGCCTTGCCTTGCTAGCTTCATGTCGAATTGAAAAAGTGAAGAAAACCCCACTCAGCCTGCAGCTACGATTTAACAAGAACAAAGCTTTGCCTTTTTATCGCAAGTACAGATTTCCATTAAGACGTATAACTGGCCGTAGATGTATGCCTAAGAGAGGAATTCAAATTGAGTGTTAAACGAAAGGGGGAAAACAAGGAGCCTGGAAATGGTGTGAGATTTAAGAAGAGAGAGGAAAAATAGAGAGACAGATGGGGATGGAGACGAATAATCAGTGAGTCATTTCATGACAAAGGCTAGGTATCTGTGCCTTCAGGTTCTTTCAGTCGGCTCCACTTTAGAACCTTTCTGGAACAAACAGCAGAAGCCACAACAGCAACACACAGTGTTCCCTAGCTTCCTATGTCATCCTATGTCATTTAAGCTATACAAATACCTATCTTTGTAAGCTATACAATAGATAGGTATTTGTGCTTCTTAGCTTCTGTCCCATTTACTGTGATTCATTACCAGAAGGTCATATAACCCATCTAAATAAACACTTTGAATGTGCTTTCCTCTCACATGCAGAATGCTATGGCAATCTGTGTATTTGTTCATTAATTTTGAAGTACTTTTCTCCCGTTTGTTTCGTTAGTGTTCTGAGTTCACTTGCATAGAAAGTCATCAGATATTGGACTTAGTCATTATTGCCTTGTTCATTTCCTTTGTTGTCTGAAGTCTATTTGTGTGTGTCTCTGTGTGTGTGTGTGTGTGTGTGTGTGTGTACGTGTGTGTGTGTGCGTGTTTATGTGCGTGTATGTGCATGTGAACATGTGTTAGTTATGCGCGGGTTGACTCATAACCCGCAGTCCCCACGGTTATATCGCAGGGCGGACGGGTTTAGGGTCTTTAAATATTGTGTGGATGAAGGGCGGGTGGGTTGAATAAATGTATAAATCTTGTGCAATTTATATCTATAGGCTACATTTAGGTTTTTCTTTAATCATTTTAGGCTATCTGGCATTAGTGCATAAACCTAGGGGTCTAACGGTACGGGTGCCAAATTGCCTACATGCTATACAAATTCGACAGTCACAAGACGGGGACTTCAAATAGGGAAGTTCAAGGGAACTGTAGCCTACTGTTCAGATGGGTTAAATGGAAACTGAAATCTGGACACTGACTGTAGGTCTATAACTTCTCACATAGCCTTAATATTGACTCCTGCGGAATTAAGGATTTCTTGTAGTAAAATGACACACCAAATGTAAGCAACATTTTTACTTGCGAACAGTTCGATACCATCTGTAGAGGTGCTATCTTTATCAGCATCATAAAAGCTGATAGTATTTTAACCACATAAAAGAGGCATTCAAGCCGAACTGAAATCTTATCAGAATGTTGGGTCGATTTCACAGCTTTCTATTTCCTTACAACCGGTCAAGCTGATGAAAATCTTTTTTTTTGTTATTGCATTTTCTTCCCGGTCCCTAAACGTCTTTGTTTTGTGAAAGAAGATAACAGAGAGAACTTTACCGATGTCAACTAGATTGAAGCGTTCATTCTATCGATTTATGACATTCTGGTGAGCAAGGGTTTATTTAGTCTTCTAAGGCAGGTGTTCCCAAACTTTTTCACTCAGGCCCCCCTTCCAGCATTGGGGAACATCATGACACAAACTGTTCACACCCCTCTTGTTGGCAGAGAGAACATTTTGCAGCCTTATTTCCTGCAATTCTACAAACATTTTCAGTTTTAAAGATAATTTTCTTGCAATTCTATATGTTTTGCCATGTCTAATGTGTATGCATGTGATATTTGAGTGACTCAAACATTACAACAAAATGTATGGGCAAAGAAACCTAGCTAAAAAACGTTAGCTGACATGGGTTAGTTGATCTGGACATTTCTGTTATAAATAGCTCTCTAAGATATGCAATGACTAACATGACAAGAGGAAAACTGATGATGCACTACCCAATTTGAAATTGCACCTTGTGCATTCTACTATTACAACTTTCAAGAGTAAGTTGAAAGCCGTACTGACCCCCGCGCCCACTAGTGTGTGTGTGTGACTGCTTACTCTCTTTCTTTCTCTCTCTCTCTCACACTTCTCTCTCATCAGCGTAGAGATATAGCAAGCAACCTCTGGCTCATACTTATTTTCACCAACCTCAAATCCTACTCGTCCTCCAATCGGGGACCCTCGGCTGGCCCACCGTGGCTAATCAGTCTATAATTAGATGTCACAGTTGGCATGACGGCAGAGTGATGGTCGGCCGCTCAGCCTGAAATGTATTCATGTTAAAAAAAAACATGTAACAGTTAATGTCACTTCCAGAAACGACTCAATTTGCTGAGGAAATGAACCTCATCTGAGCTCCTGTCAATCCTACAGAGATTCCCAATCCCTGGGTCTGGGTCCGGGAGTGTAGCCCATCTGTACGAGGAGCACATTTATTTTTCCTATCCATTAGATTTGTTTGATGGGCTCATGCTAAACAAAATCCATCATCATGTAGTAGACTGTGAAACACATTTTGAATTCGTTTTGACATGCCAATAATGTATGCAATGTATGATGACAACGATGGTTAGATAATGATGATATAAGCTATATGCTAACCACTTCCTTGATGAATGTTAAATATGTGTATGCACATTACCTCTGATGACTTAGAGGCCCTTTAAAGGTGCTACAAATAGGATTTTATAGAATTTTTGCTTTGTAATTTCAGAAAAT